TTTTGCAGTTGAGCCTAGAAAACCCCGATAACATTTTTTGCAGTCAGTCACACTTACATTAACTATTTTAAAGACTTGTACAACTCGGCTATCAAGCCGACTGTGAAGTTTGGTAGCGTCGGTATTACTTCAGTGTGCTGTACATCCAACTGAAGTTTTGGGGTGTCGTATATGTGACAAGGGGTGTAACGTCTACACCCCCTTTTTTTAGAGTGTTGTTTAGTAGGTGCTCCGAGGACTCTCACTCGAGTCACTCCGTTCGGAGGCAAGGAAGGCGCTACTGAACGCGCTCATTGGAAGCGTGGTAGAAGACTCTTTCCCTCTTATGGAAGACGGAAAGTGACTTCAAAAGCAAGTAGATACATGTAACGCGTTAGGTATGCACAAGTCTGACCTACTTCGTTTTACCCGCCCGACGGGTTTCTGTCGAACGGAACAGGAGCGGGTTTTCTCGCGGACGTGGCGACACGCGGAGCAGCATTCCCCCTCCCCTTTCCCGTGGCCGCCGATGCACTCGCCCGCTGGCCTTCCAGCAGCGGTTGAGTCCACGCACACGCTCGGGGGGCGTCGGTTCGCTTAGCGTGGGTCGTGTGTCGAGAGTGTGAAGCTCCGCGGTGTTCCCCGGCGGAAGCCTGTCCTCCTTCTCTCCCTGGGGATCAATGAGCGATGGAGTCCGGACGACACCCTGCCACCAGAAGAAAACCGGCGCGAGACGTGCGGTGGAGGCGAAAGGTCGGGTCGCCCGCGACGCTGTCTAGAGCCGCGTTTAGATGAATGCGACTTAGTCGCATCGAATCCAGTCGTCGCATTGACTACGTTTACGTGGATGCGACAGCAGCGCATCGGATCCAGTTAGCGAATCGGATCCACTGCAATCACTAAGTTTACATGGATTCGGATCGACCAGCAGCGGCACCTCGTGTCAAAGGATCACAACGCAAACCTCGTGACCTTCAGATTGTTTCCGAGGTGTCCGGTTTGCCTAGCGGCAGGCGAAGCAAAGCCCCCGTAATCCCTCGCTCGAGCACTCGATTCGATCCGCTAGCGTGTACATGGAGAGTCTCGATTCGGATTGACCATCTCAAACCACCCCGTCCCAGCGGATCGGATCGACCCCGATCCGATCCGAGTTGTTTACATGGACCGATTCGATTTATTAACTGGATCCGATGCGCTGCAGTCGCATCCACGTAAACGTAGCCATTGATTGCGGTCATGTAAACGGCATAATGCGCTAGGGAAGTGCATCGCATTCAAGTCGCTAGACGAGGGGAGGTCGAGACGGCAAATGTGCATTCTTTCGGCCCGTGTAAACGGAGGTCGCATCGCATTTTTGAACGTTGAGGATTATGGGAAGGCCCTCGCTGCGGGAGCGAGTGAACAGCTGAGAACATTGCGGCGGTCATCCTCGTAGGCGGCGGCAGACAACGGTCCCATGTGGGCGCCCGCAGTTTTCTCCCGAGACGAAAGGCGGGCTTTTATTGCCATTGTAAAGATAGCGGAGCTTCTCGCTATAAGGGCGGCCACCGTCCAAGCCTCGGGAAGTACGACTTACGCGTCCGAGGGAGTTCCCAGAGGCTTCGACGGAAGTACGAACGACGCCAACAGCTCCTCCGAGCACTGGGTACCGCAGAACGACCAGCTCCTACCTCCGTGCCGTTCCCGGCTGCGGGCCATTCGGCCTCGGAGTCCGGTCGTGCTTTGGGGAGGTTTGGCGAGACGAAGCGCGGTGGCGTCCTCAGAGGCCTCAGAGCGGTTGCAAACGATCTCGCTCGTCAGGGCGTGCGCACGTACGTCGCCCCTGTTGGCCCGGCGGCCCGGCCCGGAGCCCACAACGCTTGGGTTTTCATATTTCTTACGTCTCGTAACTTCTAGCACAGCGTTAAAAACCGTGGGCACTATCTTTACGCTCGTTGAAGGTGTCGAAGGGTTTCCACGTGCGAAGCACCCGGAAACCTAGTCCCGTGGTGCGGCTGGTGCGGGAAACGCAGCTTCAACTTTGAGCTTTGACACGGCAAGTCGTCACCCTCGCGTAAGGCTTGGTGCGCATTCATGTAAACGTTGCCCCGTCGGCTTCATTGGAAGGACGATTGGAGTCGGTGCGCTCAAGTCGCATTCATGTAAACGCGGTCTATGCACCGCTTCGATATATCTTGGTAAACTGTGTGGCGGCGGCCAACTTCTTGGAATGAGGGAGACGAAGCGCGGCACGCGACAAAGCTCCGGCTACTGCCGGGGTTTCGTCGCACCACGGAATATCAACGAGCGTAGGTAATTCTTTTTTTTTGTCCTGCGTGAACGCGTTTAGAATTGTGACATTGTTTTGTACAAATGTGCCTGCACATGGTTCCCACTTCCTTAACCTGATCGGTTGCGACTGCTTTATTACAGTATTGGTGCCCTTTTTTGACTCAAATGATGTGAGTCCATGATCGTCCTACTCGTTATAACATCTGTGCACCAAGGAACCCAGAGTATTTATATTTACCTTCTTTGTAAGATATTGAATTTTCAGGCGGCTAGATCCCATGAATCGTATCCGAGGAAAAGCAAATTGTCACAAATAAAATTTTTGTCACAAAGCATATTTTGTCTTCAGGAGTTGTGAGGTTCAGAAATTGCTGATTTTCGTATCATGTGAGAAAACTTTGTATACCGGCAATTTACCGCTCTTTATTACCTAAGTTAGAGGGTTTAATTGGTACTCTACGTCAACTTCGGAATGGGGATAGCACGTGTGCGTCAATCCTGGCAACCTTGTCCACTAGCAATAATGAAAACGAGATACGAATTTGACGACTAAGTTTACGTCACAGCTTCACAGCCGTTGAAGGGTAATTTGGCTAGTACGATCGCTGACTTAACGTTTGGAATGAGTGTCCCGCAATAGTAAATATATAAATCCTTGGAAGTGTGACGAAAAGGGGACAACGCCAAATCCATCCAAACTTATGTATGTGCTCCTGCAAAGTTCCGGCAAAATGTGAACTTTTTCGGATACGAAGCTGCTCTCGAACCGATATGTTTTCTGCTAAAAAATCTCCTAGCTCAGAGCTACCTAAACCACCCATGCGGCCAAAAAAAGGAAAAAGAAAAAAAGTTAAGGCGATAATTATCCTTGGACAAGGGGAACAAAGAAGGACAACGGAGAAGCACAAATCTCCAAACAAATCCATCAGGTCCTGGTATCGAACCAAGGACCTTTTCCATGGTGGCAGCTGGTAAAACCCGTTTTCTCTACTGACGTCTAAAGGGCTGTTTATACTCCGACGTTGAGCGCAGTGAACGCAGCGTAGCGCAGAACGCGCGCCTTTCATTGGCCGGCAACCAGGAACTCGATATCTGCGACCAATCAGTATCTGTGCGCACTGCGCTACGCCGCGCCCGTCGACGTTACGTTGGAGTATAAACCTACCTTAACTCTTACTTAGTTCAGTTGGTAGAGTGCTCCACTAGAAATGGAGAGGTCCCTAGTTCGATACCAGGACCATGCGGATTTTTTTCGTTTGCGCACCAGTCACCTTGCTGTGTATGGAGATTTCTGTTTGTCTTTTGTCCCCCTTTCTTCCCGTTCTCCAGGGATCATTATCGTTATACTGGTCGCAAGTCTTGAAGAAGTACTGGGATCGGTACCCGGAGCAGGCGGATTGCACGCACCGGTCGCCTAGAGGATGCGGGTTGCGTCCCATCTCAGGTAGAAGTCAAATTATGATTGCTTAAAGGGGCCCTGCAAGGACTTTTTACTGTTTTTTAATTTGCACCGAACCTGAGCGCACTGAACGTAGTAACTTAGTGAAACTTTTTTTTTCGCGAAATTCGCTTTATTTTAAAAGTTATAGGCAATTTAGAATTACAAAAACAAGCAAAAAATAACCTCCTTCATGACGTCGTAGGTCCTGGCTTGAGTGGCCGTGAACTAGAGGAGGAATAGTGAGCTCATCGAGCGCTCACGGCCACCGCACTCCGTGTCGACGGCGCCAGAGGGCGCCACTAAAGCATGTTCTGGATAGGCTGTATGCAGCGGGCAGCCAAAGCGGCTTTCATTGCGTTTGCTGCGCGATTAAACACTCAAGCGCAAAACACATGTACGACGAAACTGTCCGATCCGACGTCCGACCGCGCAATACGACGGTCGGAGGCGAGGGTTTTCGTAGCATCGGAGAGCGTTCAAAACCCTCGCCTCCGACCGTCGTATTGCGCGGTCGGACGTCGGATCGGACGGTTTCGTCGTACATGTGTTTCGCGCTTAATTCAGCATGACACTTCATTGGCCACAAACGACAGCAAACACGGGGTAAAGATCAGTTCAGAATGGGAGCCACTTCGCGCTGCCATACCGCGAAACGGCCAAACCGCAAGACAAAGCCTCTCGCCGAAGGCCTTCGGAACGCTCGGAGCTGGTCGGATCCTCCTGTCCAGACGACTGCAGCGCCACCGCGTACATCCGGGACCTTTCCGTGTCGGCGCCTTATCCCACTACTCCTTTCTAGTATGCGCCGCCTTTTCCACCGCTTGGCGGCGGGAATGTTGACGGGTCATTCCTTGTTTCCGTACTTTATAAACTGCATTTCTTTTTTTTTTCATTAATAGTGAACAAAAGCTACTTTCATAAATAATTGAAACGGTTCGCGCCACTTATATTTTCTATTTCGACCAAAAAGAAGTTTTCAGTAGCTCTGACCAGTAGTAAGCCGAGGACCAAAGACATCACATTTTGCGCGCTTTCGGTACCGCGGGTCGCCCTTGTCGGTGGAGGAGGTTACCGTGTCGTCCGGTTAAAATATGGCGCACTGATATTTAGCTACTCTTTCCGTGCCCGCTGCCTTGCCCGAAAACCAAGAGACGTGGAAACCGCATAAAAGGTAGACGCTTAAATATGATTGCAGGGCCCCTTTAACCGAAGCAGTGCAAGCGAGTGATTGACAAACCTGCGTACGATAAAGTGTTAGACCATAAGGCCAGGGATCATTTCAAGACTTATCAGTGTTTCTCGTCCGCAGATCGACATCCTGCACATGAACGACGTTCTCTGCGAAGGTTACTCGCTCATGGACGTGGCCTACATCTACGCCTGGAAGAGGGTGAGCCTTCTTCAGCACCCTGATGAACGCACTCCTGCTGAGTGCGGACGAATTGAACTCCTCGGGGATATTCGGACAGCTTTTGTTCATTTTGCGGTGTCGACGACATGCTTCCATTACCCATTAATGCAGCGTCTGCATGCGATGAGGGTGTGGAGCGTAGCGGAGAAAAGCGAATTCTTTTAGGCACCGAGCAGACGGCGTTACAGTGCTGAATGATCGTGAACGGCGTGTAGGTCAATGATACGACAAGGCTCGTCTCCTTTAGTTCCAAGAAAGATTCCATAGACTCGGGTTCATTTCGTTGAACCCGCAAAAGGATCTCCATGCTAGTTCGGTTGGCAGGCGTTCAGACGCCTGGAAACACGACCGCGATGGAGTTCGTGACGGAGGGCTTAATCCGGGGTTCGCAGGATTCTCCCCTACGCCTCGCTTTCCGGGTGTACTCCCAACCTGCAAAGCGACCTGCCTCGACGGACACGGCTGGGGCCCAGGCGGACGTTGACGAGAGGCACTGCGACGGGAACCCGACCGGACAACAACAACAGCAGTGCCCCCGCGAAGAGGCGACGGCACCCGGTCGACCGGTGCCGGAGGAGTCTTCAGAGGGAGTGGAAGAAGGCGTCGCCCAGAGCCTCGCGAGTCCGGAACCGGACGCTGCAGGACCTCCCGCGACGCTAGTGCCGAGGGACATGCACCCGCCAGATGGAGCTGCGGGCGCTGTCACTCCGCCCGTCGTACCCGCTGCAGAGACGCGCCTACCCGAGACACGGGACGCGTGAGTGCTCGAATTCCAAGAGGGGATTGGCGCTGTGATCGGCCTTCCGCAATTGGCCAAGTGCTCAGTTATAACGTCGTGAGTAGGGATATTTCTGCTCTCATCGCCGGATAGAAGCGCAAAGTCAGGCTTTCATCTCTGACGGAACGTACTGACTAAGGCTTCCACAGCGTTTTTTTTTTCACACGATTGAGTTTTTTTGTTTTTTTTAGTAGCCTCGGTTGTCTCGTCGGGGATAGGAACCGTACTAATGCCGCACTGAAACATCTCGTTCGCCAATCGGCTGACTCCGTGCTATGTGCCGGATGGACCAATGCGGAGAGCAAATCGTCTGCTTCTTTTGCCGAGGTTGTGGTGACGTCAGAACGCCGAGCTCTGATTAGCTGACTGAAAAAAATAGTGGGTAGACCTCGAAGCATCTCGCATTGAGGTCTACACACTCCCCTTCCAATCAGAACTCGGCGTCGTTCTGACGTCACCGCATCTCCTGCGCAAGAAGCAGACGACTTGCTCTCCGCATTGACCGTTGGTTGAGGCCACTGACCGGCGTTCCGAACATTGGCACGTGAAGAACGCCTTCACGACGAGAAGTGTGGATGGTTGATTAGTTCAGCCGGCACGTATCGCGCTCTCTGTCCAAGACTGAAGGGTGGTCAGGTCATCCAGCTCTAGGAAACGTCACGGGTTTGATCAGGGTTGGGTCGACACTTGCAGTCTTTGCACGTTTACTATAAAAAATCTCGATTGAAACCACCGGGAAGATGTACTGCTCGGAGAGTTTGAGTCGGACTAGCCGGGCGATAAGCATGATTGTTCCATCGAGGAACCTGTGGCATAGCGGTACATATGGCGTTGCCTGCGTTGGATGAAGAAGACGTGACTCCCCCTCCCCCCCCCCCCCCCCCCCCCCCCCGAACGACTATTTCCTCCTTTATATTCCTGTACTTACTAAGTTTTTGTGTGTTAGCCTATTCCGAGTTTCTGCCTGTGGCCTTAGTCACGAAAAAAGATGCTGGCCATAGATTTAAAATGTATTTTCCGGGCATATTCGTGCGAAACAGATGATGGAAGTAGGGACGTGTACAGGGAGTTCCCGAGAAACGAGAAGAGTGTTTTTGGCCCGAGTAAATAAACTATGCATCGCAGAAAGCTTAAACTCCGCGAGAATGTCACGCTAGCACTTGGGATAGATCGGGAAAATAGAACTTTACATTGCGGACGCTTGTGAAATTTATATCAGTGGAAAACTCTTGTGAGCGAGAAAGAGGATAGTGTTTTCTTTCTTGTTGACGAGTCTCTCTCACTTAAATAGATGGTACAGGCACCCAGGACGTCATCTCCCGTTTCGACAATATTGGGCTTAGGTGGACGTCGGTTCACGGAGAAATTTTGTTTTTCTCAATTATTTTTCGATCCGAATAGCGTCATGTTCTCAAATTTCCGCGTTCTTTCCTAATTTCTAGCGCGACATCATCACGGAGTTTGAGCTTTCTGCGATTCACAATTTATTTACCCTGCTCGAAAAACAAAGTTATCTTTTCTCGGGGACTCCCTATACTCTGTCATTTTGAGTGCGCATGCGAACGATTTCGCGCCTCCCGTGCTGTATGCTCCTCGCAGGTCAATGGCAGCAGAGACGCCTGCTGCCTTCGGGAGTGCCCAGATGGCGGAGACGGTCCTATCGTCCTTCCCGCAGCAGGAACAACGGCAGAAGGCGTCTGAGCCTCCCGCCGAGAGTCTCCCCGCCCTGTCCAAGATCACCATTAGCACGCTGGACAGGAGCAGCAACAAGATCACCATCCAGACGAAGGAGGTGCCCCCGACAGTGGCGCAGGCCATGTCCCCGCCCCGCTCCCCGCAGTCCAAGAAGTCCAGGCGCAAGGAGCAGCGGAACGCCGAGCGGACGCTGCAGTACGCCAGGCACCAGAGACGGTCCCCGGACAGCCAGGGGCGCCCCTGGAGCCGGTCCCCGGAGCGGCCGGAGGGAGCGACGACGGCCAAGAACCGGAAGCTGGACGGCGCCGATTTCGCCGGGGTCGACGGCGCACAAGGCCGCGGCGAGGCCCGCCCCGCTTCGCCCGGCAAGCTGCTTCTCGAGTGCGCGTCGCTCCCGGAGCCGGCCAAGAGGAGCCAGAGTCCCACCGGGAAGGGCTCCGGGGCCTGCAGCTCCGGACTACCCGCTTCTCCGCCCCAGGCCCACCCGCAGACCCCGAAGACCCCTCCCGCCACCCCGCTCGCCTCGAGCCCCACGAAGGGCGAGGAGGACACGCGGCCCCTCGACCTCTCGGTGTCCCACCGGGGCTTGCCGGCACCGGCGCCCGTGCGCAGGCCTGTTGGGAGGCCTCCCCTCGTGCTGCCCACGGCGTGCCCACCGGGGACCGCCAAGGGACCCGCCTCGCCCTCCCCGTACCGCAAGGCGGCGGTGGCGTCCCCCGCGGTGTCGCTGTACCAGAAGCCGGCCGTGGCGGTCAACCAGGCCGCCACGTCCTCGCCCCTGTCGCAGCAGCACCACCACCACCACAACCACCACCGGAGCGGCAGCAGGGGCTTCCTCAAGGGCGCCAACCTGACGTGCATCAACCCGGACCCGGACGCCTTTCACCCGCGCATCGTCATCAAGAACCTGCAAACGCGGGCTTCCTGCGTACGGTTCAACAAGATGTGAGGCCGCGTCGCCGAGTCGCCCTCTCCCTCGAGGAGACGGCGTGGCATGTACACACAGCATTTGAATGCGAAGCTTTCAGTTGCGGCAGGCCGACGCGTAGCGTCGCGAAGAGCGTTTGCGCCATGCTTGTACGCACATCTTCCTTGACACGCAGTCGACTGAAGTCAGTGGTGCGAGCGAGCGCGCGGACCATCCTCCTTCGTTTCTCGAACGATCAACCGCAACGCAGCGGTAGGGAAAGTCCAGTACCGCACTTGCTCCCATGCGTCGCACCGATAGACGTTCCGCTCTACGTACCGCTAATAACCGCTTTCGGCAGCAAGGACGCCGTTGCGCACTCGAAGGCGCGTATGGCGCTTTATATAATAGCGGGCGCCTTGTTTCTAGTCTCCTGCGGGTGTCTCTCCTACTGCGCGCGTACGCGCAGCTGTCGCGCGAGACGGCGCCGTTTGTTTGTGCGTGCGAGTGGAATATATGAGTGGATGGAAGCCGTCGTGGCGTCAGCGGGAAGACAACTGGATACACACACTCCCTGCCGGTCGGATACATCCAGGTGCGTCGGCAATGCGTGCTCCGTGTTCGCCGGCGGTCGTGATCGCTGTGCTCCCTCTCTCTCTCTCTCATCGTGACCCGCCGAGACCTTCTCTTGCCCCGCAATACGAAGCGAGCCCCTGAGGGGTGCTCCGTGTGCAACCTCCCACGTGGGTGGGTTGGCGGCGACAATTTCAGTGTGTGCAAATTCGTGAGCTGTTGCGTGAGTAAGTGTCTTCCACAACAGGAGTACGTGCACACCTGGATTACACCGGATTACCTCGGATTACGGCGTGCGGTCCTGGTGAAGTTCGACTGTGCTCTTGAGAATGTTTGTTTCCCTGGTTCTATCGAAGTGCTCTTTGTCGAAGAGCAGTTGCGGAAGCGCTCTCTAAGCGTGAGACGGGCTGGGAACAGAGCCCTCACGCCGAACGGCGCACAAAGGCGCCTATAGTTGTAGTAGCCGCGGTAAAGCGAGATTGTGCAATATTGGCCGATACGCGTTAATCCTATAGACCGAACAGCTCCAAAAGGAGACACCGCGCATGGTGTACATTGCTTACGTAGACCGCACTGCGTATATAATTCTTTCTTTTACATTGCGTCGAGGAAATGTTGAAAGTTAGGGAATCCACGACGTCATTGCTGCACGTAGTCTGGTCGGATTTTAATGGTGTTATTTGCCTGAACAATAAAAGGCCTCTGAAATAACGTGATTACGCGCACGAATCCACGTTCTGCATTCGTAAGTAGAGCATAGCTCTATACTGAGAAAGCCTGGCAGATCGCCACGAGAAGCGGCCGCCGAAACTTAAAAGGTAAAGCGGCAGACAAAGGATGAGAGGAGAGCCACGTGACTGGCGCCCCGATGCGGCGAGATGCCGAAACACACTTCTTCCGAGCGATGGAATTTCCGCTCGTGCTCCTCGGTAGTGATTTCCCTCCACACACCCTAAAGGGGGGAGGGGGGGGGGGGGTGTACACCTTCCCCTTGATTTTTGTGAAGGCGCCCCTTTAATTCGTAACGACTTCTCTATTGTCAATCTTCACTTAATTTCAATTCCTGGGAAAACCCTTGCTCCTGGCGTTCCTCGCGCTACCGCTTCTTTTCTCCACAAGTTTGAAAACCATGTTTCGGGTTCTCGCCGCTGCAATAGGTGTGCGCTGACGTCCTGGTTCCCCCGAAACGCTCTGTGCTACCACATCCTCGCGCTCGAAATCTGCGACCGGGGACTCTATGGCTCCGTTGTCGAACAGCCAGGCTTTGTGAGTATAGAGGGGGCGATGGATAGAGGAATGGCTGAGACCAGGGTCGGGGACTCGTCCCTGTCCAGCCATCGGCGTTGTTCCCCGCTCGGCAGTCCTAGCCGTGCTCCCCCCAACGCAGGAAAAGGTAAGAACAAGGAACGGTAAGCGTAGAGTGTTTCTCCAAAACTGGGGACCCCTTGTATTTGTAACTTGCAACCGATTGCAATTGTTTCTGAAGAAATGTGCGTACCGTTCACGGTGATGAGAGCATTGACATAGCTCTGGCCTCATAAATGGCAGAATGTGTATTAAAAATAGCGCAAAAAAGGCGGGACAAAAAGACGAAGAAGCACACAGGACAAGCGCTAACTGGCAACCAAAATTTATTGAATGCTTCCAACTTTGCTATCGCCGTGTACGCGCTTAGTGTTGTCTCAACAAAAACTGCGTACCGCCAAATCAGCAGACACAGCCCGCCCACCGCCTATTCAAAAAGCCAGCAAAAATAGCTACCTCCCCCCACCGCACAATCCGAACGAGGAAAGGAAAAAACGCCGCGTTAATATTTACAAGTTAGTGTGAATGAAACTACTCTTTCGGCTGCCTATACACCCATGCGACGCTTATGCAAACGCCTTTTTCAAAAGCATGTATTTTTGCCGCCTCGCGATCCAGCAACTCTCGTTCCAACCTTCCTTTGTTACGTACCTCTACCTGCGCACCGTCCAGCGTGGGGAACAACCACAAGTTTTACAATGCCCCACCCAGTGGAAACCGTAATTGTTGCCACGTCCACGTCGTCCTCGATGTGGCGCGCGACGTCATGACCGCGTTACAACGGCGACTTGATGTCGCCAAACGGCGTCGTCCTCGACACGACGCGATGTCACGACGGCCTTACGACAGTATCTTGGCGTGGCATAACGTCGTCGACGATGACGTCGTGGCGTCGTCGTGTCGTGGTGCTTTGACGTTACCTCTGGCGTCAAAATCATAAAAAAAAATAGAATATAGCCCCCAAGGTGCTATATTGCCCAGTCTTGGGTAGTATCGCGTTACTGGTATAGAGATACTGTATCTCGTTACTTTTTTGGTATATTGTAGCTGTAACTCGCTACTTTTTCAAAACGTATCTGTAACGATAACTAAATTTTTTACAAAAGTGACGAAACGGTAACGGCAAAGTTACAGTTACTTTTCCTAAAAGTGAACCCTGTCTCTGGTTATGGCTACAGAAATCCTTGACATTCAGACTCTTCAAGATTGTTTTTCTCACCCCTTTAAAATGGTCAAAAAGGTGGAGCTGGAGATCAGTAGGGTTCTTGGCTCGGGTTAAATTACGTTAATCTCGCCAGACCATATTTCCCTTGAACATTATCATCAAAGCGCGGCAGAAATAGGACGTTGGGTTTGACCTTGATATCGTAAGGAGCGAATCGTAGGTTACGTCAATGAAATTTCGAGTGTCTAGATTTCTTATTAATTGACTATGGTATATTTCCGATGTTGCTATTTTGAACAGTTTCATTTTTTTTTTTTTAAATAGCTAGTCGTCAGAAGAAACTAGGCAGATACTTCCCTATTCCTAACGCTACTCGCTGGAATTCACTCTAGGATGAAATGAAGTTTGTTGACGAGGCCCAGAAGGACAAGATGGAGGCTGTCTGCGACGCGCCCTCGCGCTGCCGCGTCTACAAAAAGATGATCAGAAGCTCATTCAGGAGTATTGCCGGGTATGCCCAAAAGCTCTCACGTTTTTACAATCTTTTTAATGTTTTTTTTTTTTTATTATTATTCCTTAGACAATAAAAGGGGTTGCCAAGGCGCTCGACATCCTACAAGGTGAACAGTACATGTTCATGGGCGCTTTGGTGCCGACATTGGTGGCGCTGATGCGGCAGCTACATTCACTGCCTACGCTCAGGTTTCGCAGCTCGCTTGTCTTGTAGACACAGTAGATTGCAGTTTTGAAGAAGTCAGTTCCTTATTGTTTGGACAATGTACTACCTCTTTGTTAGCGCCTTTTTGTAGAAAGTTACGTCTGCCACGCAGGCTCATTCACGATTATCAAGGCAAGTAATGCACACATTTTTATTAAATATAAAAGGGTTAAATTTTTTATTACATATGAGACCTAAAGGGCCTTGGCCACAATATTCCTAAATTTTTTTTATTAAGGCACACATTATATGGCGAATACCGTGGACGTAACGGCTAGTGCACTGATACTGCGACCCGCTCCTGAAACGTTTGTTTTTAGTTTTTAACGTTACACGTGTGAGTAAATGCTTTCATTTCATTCGCAGATTTTCTGAAGACCTCAGGTCCAACGAGCTCCTACTGGCTACCGCGGCGCCTCCAAAATTTAAAATTTCATGAATGGATGAAGCGCAGAAAACGCGTTCTTTGCTGCTTCTTGCAGAGGAATGTAGGCCCTTCTGAGGAAGTTACACGGGAGCCAATATGCGATGATGACGATGAACACAGCGATGGAAGACTGACACCTCATCGACGGCCTTATTCATCCTCAACGACTTTCCCAGCATTAAGAATATCTTTTTACGCCTCAATGCCGCGTTTCCTCCTAGCGCAGTTGTTGAACGTCTTTTCAGCAAGGGGCAGGACGTTCTCAACATCAAGAGGGGAAAGCTAAGCGATAAGAACTTCGAAAAGCAGGTGCTGCTTTGATACAACATGGAGTAAATAATAACACGGCGTTATTAAATATATCTCGAAAAGTTCAGAACTTTTAGAAATTCCCAAAACAATGTAAATGTTGCCCATTTTGTCCTGTCGTCCATGTCTTCAAAGTTCCATACAAAATATGAGTATCTTGAAATTAACTAAGTTACTCTGCCCAAGCAACTGTAACTGTAACGGGTTACTTTTCTTTTGAAGTAACTAACTTAAATACAATGTTAGGAAAGTAACTGTAACTAAATACTTTTAAAAAGTAACTTACCCAAGACTGAATTATTGCCCATATGACCTTGACCTGTGTCGTTGCTTGATCGCAGCGAAGGTGGCGCTGCGATCAAAGTGACTTGGTTCCAGCTCATCGCTTTTCACATATTGAGGTGCACCTGAAAGCATGAGCGGAGCCTATAGCTCGTCCCAGTCGTACCTTCTAGTACACTCTAGCTATACCAATAGACCTTTTCCCGAATCGAAGCGCCCCTGGTGGCACGGTGGCACAAAATGAATTCTGGGTACCAGTTGGCCACTTAGTTTCGGTGTCAGTTTCAGATTTTGTAATGATTATCGTGCTATGACGGAACACGCCGCTTGCGTTTTTATTGCTATGACTTTCTACAAGTGTACAATACCGTGTTGCCGAGAGATACCGAAAAAGAAACCCTTCCCACTGCTTTTGTGGTTCCCGATGTGCCGGACTTTGGGCAAAAGTGGGCAAATGTAGAATGATGGATTACAACCTCCCTGCTGGTGCCCCTGGCGTGCAAGCACGTTCGCATGCGCTTGAAGGAAGGTTATGCAGGCTTGGAAGTTCACGTGCTTGGTTGCAGGTGTACAGAGAGAGTGGCTGTCTAATCGAAACCGAAACCATGCCACTCAGCTTCGTGGCCCACTGGTTCCCAGCATGCAACGCGTGAAGTGTTGCATGGGCGGATTTGTGAAAGTGGCCTGTTCAAACGCATGATGTTACAATTAAAACACGTACATTCGAGCAATATAAAATACGCTACAAATAAGCCACGCTACAACGGGATTCGATAAAACCACCTGGAAAAGACAATTCTTTGTCATCGTGACGTACGGAAGGCAGGCTGAGGTATGTCTCCACCTTTCCTGATAATACACATGGAGAGCACAAAATGTGCCTCGCGCTTATTAGTTGTCCGCGCGTGATGATTTGTTGTGCTTGGTTATGGGTTTGGGAGGTCTTGGATACCGGTCGTTGGATGACCGGAAGTGGTCAGTTAAAGTTGTTGTTGTTGGTCCTCCCAATGGTGTGGGAGGCAGGTTCCGCACCGATGGTCTGGAGCGTGACGGCACGAACGTCGCTGAATGACGGGTCGGCTCACTGCTTCTAGAGAACTATGTACATTTATTTACACTCTAGTTACAAGTCCCAACTTGGGAAATCATCCTGCCTCGTCTAAAGTCTCGACCCCCGTCCCCAATTTCTCTCCATCAAATCCAAAGTCCGAATCCCTCAAAATCCTCTCCGCGCTCTTTTTGTAGGCCCGTAGGGGCCTCCTTTCCCCTCAGGAACCGACCAATCTATTCAAATTCCGCCACTCACACGTGGTATACTGTTCTCCAATGGTCGGCGAGCTGTCATCCTGGAGCCCTAACCGTCAAACCTAAATTCCTCGTAGAGTTGTTCTCTGCAATTTTCCCAGCCTGACTGGCGCCAACCGCTAAGTTATTGCATCGGGCAAAACGCGACAATTTTATACAAAGCGGCAAAACCCTTCATATACAGGCACATTCGGCTAAAAGTCGCA